CTTGTGGGTTATTTTTGTAATAAACACAGTGGACACACTCTTATGCAATCCTAATCATACCCTAAATTCAAGGTCAAATAATACACTGCACTAAATAAATTATTCTTTTTTTCCAATCATCATACAGTGAATTTAAGGCTACTAAAACTCATCCTATTATCACCTAGCTAGAAAGAGAGAAGCCAGATAAAACACTTTGCTTTAGATGGACAATACTTGAAGATGCAGGACACCAATTTGATTGCTAATACATAAAAACCCACTTACAGGTATGATTAGAAAATAATACCAAGGGTGTCTGGGAGGCTCAGTCGGTTAAGCATCTGCCTTCTGTTCAGGTCATGATCCCAGGGTCCTGGAATCGAGTCCAGAGTCAGGCTCCCTGCTCCAAAGGGAGTCCACTTCTCCCTCTGACCATCCTCTCACTCGCTCCCTCAATCTCTCTAATAAGTAAATAATATCTTTTAAAAAGAGAAATTAATATCAACCTATTGTGGCTGTAAGTCTGAACTAAAAACTGATATTCAGAGGTAACAGTGAAACGGCATAGTAAAAGAAGAGAAAGAATTTACTGGCCAAGAGGAAACTGGTTGTATACAAATACTTTAATATTAATAGTAGTGTTTTAATAATATATTAATAATCAATACAATATCCTTTATATTAATAGCATTATTATTTTTTCTATTTTTCCATTTTTCTGTTAGATTGTTAATCTTTTTTTTTTAAGTAGGCTCCATGCTGGGCATGGAGCCCAACACAAGGCTTAAACTTACAACCCTGAGATCAAGACCTGAGCTGAGATCAGGAGTCAAACATTTAACTGAGCAAGCCACCCAGGTACGTCTTAAGAGCATTATTAATTGATTTAATAATTCAATTAGAATTCTTAGAGCAGGGGCACCTCTGTGGCTCAGTCGTTAAACATCTGCCTTCGGCTCCAGTCATGATCCCAGAGTCCGGGGACCGAGTCCCACATCGGGCTCCCTGCTTGACGGAGAGCCTGCTTCTCCCTCTCCCCCGCCCCCTGCTTGTGTTCCCTCTCTCGCTGCCAAATACATAAATAAAATCTTTTTAAAAAAGAATTCTTAGAGCAAATAATCTTATTTTCACCAAAAAAAATAGATACCTCCTTTTTTGCTTATCATTGTTAAGTACAAGGATCAACAAAGGAAATTAACACTTGGAACTCCTTCATAACCAAGCTCTTTGTAACCTTTTGTTAGCTCAAGGATCAACTCTCAGGTATCCTCACGACCCTAAGAGTCAGCTACAAATTTTTCCTAAACAGTCCTGAGAATTTTCTTTAAAGGGCTCTTCACTGTGGAGTTCTTTCTCCTGTTCTTATATGTCTGATGACAGTTTCTCAGGTCTCAACAGAAGCCCTCTTAATGTTTTCTCCTGAATGGCAGGTAGCACACTTCAGGTGAACACTCAAGAGAGTAGAAACCATCTTCTTCATAATTCCAAGTTTATACAATGCCCTGCAAACTCACAGGTCAGAGTAGAACAGGGAAGTAATTCCAGTATTATTCTCTCCCAGTCTTTGGCTGGCACATCAAATGCACAAGCAGGATCAGCAACAATTACAACAGCATAAAACAAAACACTTTTTTAAACCAAAACAAAATCAACTAAGGTTAAATGGCCAAGTTAAAACAATTTCCCTAGGATGTGAAATAACCCATTAATTTCAATTAGTAAATTATGAAAATGTACTCCTGAGTATAGGTCTGGAAAATTGAACTTCTGCACTAGAGAATTATGGAGTAAAAATAGGTTTTAAAAAACATAGCTGTGTGGGCGCCTGGGTGGCTCAGTTGGTTAAGCGACTGCCTTCAGCTCAGGTCATGATCCTGGAGTCCCGGGATCGAGTCCCGCATCAGGCTCCCAGCTCCACGGGGAGTCTGCTTCTCCCTCTGACCTTCTCCTCGCTCATGCTCTCTCTCACTGTCTCTCTCTTCTCTCAAAAAAATAAATAAAATGTTTATTAAAAAAAAACATAGCTGTGTAATTCTAAATGTGGACAGAAAACATGAAACAAAATTAAACTGGCTCAAAATGGGGACATTTTATCCTCATTCCCTTCAAGGAAAGAAATATCTGTGAAAACTAGTGTAATCTATCAATACCCCACACATTTAATCCCACAAAGATATGAAAATCACTTCAATTTTCTAACAGTGCTGGAGAAACTAGCAACATATTTATGAAACCAGAGAGATCCTACCCTTTCACTTTAAAGAAACACATTCTAAAAGTATTGTGATAATTTTCTTGCCATACTACTTTACCAAGTAAGTAAGCAAATTATATCACATTCAATCAATCTGAAGACTGAGACTTATAAGTAAAAATTATGATTGCTGAGATAGTAAATTGAACCAAAATAGGCCTGTGGCCTGTCTTTCCTGCCCACTCCCCCATCCATATTTTGATTTATGTCCTAAGAAAGATCACAATTTAAAAGCAAAACTCTGTAAAACCTTTAAAAAGATGAGTAGAGGGAATTTTAAGACGAAACTCCCATATATTATTCCCACCTGTTCCAGTACCTGTATCACCTCAGACAAATCTCTCCTCACAATTTAATTTCCCAACTGTCAAATGAACATTATTTTCACTCATTGGGATGTGTAAAAAGTCTTGATTAAAGTTTTTCAAGTATTTTTAAATATATAGATAAAAAAAACTATAATGAGGCATTTACAAAAGGAATGTGTTGCCTTAAAGCGCTCACAGAAGTAAAGATTGTAATGTGTTAGTTGGTTATTTTTGCTCATCACGCTCTCTCATTTTCAGATAAATTCTACTACTTCTCCATGCATTTTTCAAAGAAAAATAACCTTCTGCATTAGAGATCAGAGATGTTAACCTACCCTTTGGAGGGATTTGTGTTTAATCTAACCCTACCTAGAGGCCAAGAATCAAGATCTTTCCAAGACTAAGAATGGAAAAGAATAGTTTCTATCAGGTTAAGAAGACTAGTAGAGAAATCAATTCGGAGGAGAAAAGGAAATGCATAAATTCCTTGAGAAAATGCTGGAACAGCTTCTGGCGTCAGATAATGTTATTCATTCCCAGCAATTTAAAAATTGATTCCAAATTACATTTAAGTCATAAGAGTCAATAAGAATTAAAATATAGCAAGATTTAACAGGAAAAAGGGAGAGACAAATCAAGAGACAAATCTTGGGTTTGTCTAAGGTTAAGACAAACCTTAAAAGGAAAAAAGGAAGAGACAAATCTTAATTATAGAGAACTGATGGTTACCAGAAGGGAGGAGGTGAGGGAATGGGGATTAAGGAGTGCACTTGTCTTGATGATGTATGGAAGTTTTGGATCACTATATTATACACCTGAAACTAATATATTACTTTATGTTAACTAACTGGAATTAAAATAAAAGCCTAAATAAAAAATATATAGAAAGCTTTATTTTTTTTAAATTTGAGTTTACATTAGAATTAAATCTCATACATTAACACTGTTTTTGTCATTTCATGTATTTTTTCTACATATAAGCTTTTTTTATTGGCTGGAGGGTAGCTGGATATGGTTCTAAGCTTACCAGTTTTAGATTCTGTATTTTTTTCCCCTTTAATAGTACTATCTTAGAGGCTGTGGCTGTGTTAGAAATAGGGGTGTTTATGTACAGTGTGTTGTTGCATGTCCAGCATCTTTCCAGGCCCCCAAGCCTTTGCTCATATTTTTTCTTCTACTTGGGATGCCCTCCCCTACGTCCATTCCTACAAAGTTAAATCCTATCCATTTTCAAGGCCCACCTCAAATGCTACCTTCCCTGAACTCTCATAACACTTTCTCTAACATACAAGGTTAGTGAGATTGGAAGGGTGTATCTGTCTTTCCTACTGCACTGTGAGACCCTCCAGTCAAAAAGCACTCTCTCATATCATGAACATAGACACAAGAAAGTTTTAAAAATAAAACCTCTGTTCAAAATATCCTTTAAAAAGGATGAGAGAGGCGCCTGGGTGAATCACTTGGTTAAGCAATGGACTCTTGATTTTTGGCTCAGGTCAGGATCTCAGGGTCACAAATGCAGCCCCACCTCAGGCTGGGCCCTGAACTCAGCACAGAATCTGCTGGTCCCTCTCTCTCTACTCCTCTCCCTGCGTGCATGTTTGCTCAATCTCTCTCTCTCTCTCTCTCAAATAAATAAATCGTTTTAAAGGTTAATAAATAATAAGGATGAAATAAGCAGTCTATTCAATTAGTGGGGCTGCTAGAACCCACTGTATTCATAACTGAACTCAATTAACTTGATTGCAAACTCATTTGAGGTCAGAGACTCTGTGCTGTTTCTTGTGCATACCCCCTACCACCCCACACCTCAATATCACCCAATTCAATGTCCTGCACACATTAAGACTCAATACAAAACCCTATTACTGTAGATGAACACACTCTAAAACAAAAATCAGATGCTAAAAATACAAACTTGTGAAACAATAAAAGAGCTGTTGGTGCTTAGGATAAACCCAACGTCTACAACAAAGTGTCAAAGATAAAGGTGCCACAGGGATGGAGAATGACTTTACCGGGAAGGGGGCAGAATGAACAAAATGAAATGGAAACGAGAGTGTTCTCTCAGTTTAGCTTATGCTCCAAGAGAAAGCAAAAAGCAAAATATATTTCTTTACATCATTTCATTAATGGTCTTCAGTCCATATGACTTCCAATACCGGTACGGACCTTCTTGTACCTTCAACTAATTGGGTAACATAGGCCACTGGATGATCAGGGCACTTTCCCAGAAGGGTACAAGAAAAGTGACACGGGTCAGGACTCAATCTCCCCTCCATTATTCCCTGCTGGGAAGGTAAAACTAAGTGTGGTAAATACCAGAGTTGTGAAGAAGTGAGAGTTCGGAGACTGTCCCTGTTTAAAATAACCCCGCTACACTCGGTAGTAGAGATTGACGGTACAGAACACCTCTCCAGTAGAAGGGGACGACAGGGAGCCCACATAGGACGTACCTGGTTTTTCTTTCCTATGCTGAAACCTCGCGAGCTACGCAGCCCGTGGCAACGGCAGATCCATGCGCAGGTTCCAATCTCACACACAAGGAGAAGAAACAGTAGTGGTGGCGTGGGGAGGGGGGCGGCGGCGTCGGGGACAGCGACCGCGGTGGCGTCGGCAGCGGCGGTGGCGGCGGCACTCCCACGGCTTCTCTTCCTCCACCCACCGCCGCCCGAGCCTGCGGCCTTTACCCGTCCTTTCCTCACTCCCCCTACTTCCGGGTGACGCCCAGGCCGGAAGCAGGGCCTGAGATGCAAGAAAGGGACGCATCACGTGAAGAGGGACAAGTGCCCGGGAGTTGAGCTTCTCCCGCCCCCTGCTGCCCCTGAGTTGACACGCACCCTCGCGTGGAAGTCTTTGGCGCGGCAGAGAAGCCTCCTTCCTCCCATCACCAAAAACAAAACAAAACAAAACAAAATCCCACCAAAACCTGTGTCATCTGTAGCTTCCCAACCTCGAGCCATTAAGTACCATATAAGTCTTTGTAAATCATCTTCTGCATAGTTCAGCCTTTCTCAGCATGAAATTAACGGGGTGATGTTACTGTGTAGCCTAACTCCAAATGCAAATGCCAGAACTATGAACTTGCACTCGTCCCTCCATTCAAAAATTATCTCAAAAAATTTGACTTCTTATTCATAATCTTTATGTATATATTGGAGTTGGGGCCGGCATCTCACCTCACGCTACCTTCATATCGCCAACCTAAAGCTCTGAACCACCTGTCCATTTATCCATTCGCTTGTCCATCATCTTAAAAACCTAGAGGATTCCAAGGATGCAAAGAATTATTAGAGTATCTACAATAAATGATGCAACAAATGATACAGATGCATTAAATGATGCAATAAATGATATGATGCGATAAATGATACAGAAAGCATTTGAGAAAAATGTAGTTTTAATCCTGTCTTCCCATTTTCACATTTTAAAAAATAGCAAAATCCTAAGATTTTTAAAACAATTAATATTAACAGTAAGAGGAACAGGCTCCATCTCACTAAATTAAAAGTGAGATGCGGTCTTTTCGTATTGCCTTAAATTGAATATCTGTCATGAGATGTATGGGGAAATTAATTATATTTTCAGCTGGAACTGTTTGAACAGAGTTGCCATAAGTATCAAGTCTTTTTTACATAGACTTTGTTTGTGAGAGAGAAAGACAGAGAGAGAGCAAGCACTGGCATGCTCTGAAAGAGACATAGGGAGGAGAAGCAAAAGCCGACATCTCGAGGATCAGGGCAGGATCCCAGGACCCTGTGGTCCTGAACTGAGCCTAAGGCAGACACCCCAGGCGCCCCCAAGTCTAATAATGTTGCCAAACTCAAAACGGTACACAAAGGATAAATATTAAAATACTATTTGTAAAAGGCTTAGGAAAGTGGCACACACTAACCATATTTAAGTGTTAAGTAAACCAATTATACCCCCCTATTGTCAAATTCCTACTAAGCCTTGACAGGCAACATTTAAAATTGCCCAGAGATCTAAAGTTTAGGCCTACAATTAAGTATTTCACAAAGAATTATTCCTTTCCCCTCTGTACCCATCCACATACATATCTTCAGGACTACTAAACTTCCCAGCCATTAAGTTGTAATTGTCAATCAACGTGCACAACGTTAAGTCACAAATTCAACCCCAAATTTAAAATCTTTTTTTTTTAAGATTTTATTTAGTTATTTGACAGACAGAGATCACAAGTAGGCCGAGAGGCAGGCAGAGAGAGAGAGGAAGGGAAGCAGGCTCTCCGCTGAGCAGAGAGCCCAACGTGGGGCTCGATCCCAGGACCCTGAGACCATGACCTGAGCCGAAGGCAGAGGCTTAACCCACTGAGCCACCCAGGCGCCCCCCAAATTTAAAATCTTAAAAATTACATCACATGGGACACCTGGATAGCTCTGTCGGTTAAATGTTTGCCTTCAGGCAAAAATGAGCTATTGGGATTTCATCAAGATCAAAACCTTTTGCACAGCAAAGGAAACAGTTAACAAAACCAAAAGACAACTGACAGAATGGGAGAAGATATTTGCAAACGACATATCAGATAAAGGGCTAGTGTACAAAATCTATAAAGAACTTACCAAACTCAACACCCAAAGAACAAATAATCCAATCAAGAAATGGGCAGAAGACATGAACAGACATTTCTGCAAAGAAGACATCCAGATGGCCAACAGGCACATGAAAAAGTGCTCCACATCACTCGGCATCAGGGAAATACAAATCAAAACCACAATGAGATACCACCTCACACCAGTCAGAATGGCTAAAATTAACAAGTCAGGAAATGACAGATGCTGGCGAGGATGTGGAGAAAGGGGAACCCTCCTACATTGTTGGTGGGAATGCAAGCTGGTGCAACCACTCTGGAAAACAGCATGGAGGTTCCTCAAAAAGTTGAATAGAACTACCCTATGACCCAGCAATTGCACTACTGGGTATTTACCCTAAAGATACAAACGTAGTGATCCGAAAGGGCACGTGCACCCGAATGTTTATAGCAGCAATGTCTACAATAGCCAAACTATGGAAAGAACCTAGATGTCCATCAACAGATGAATGGATACAGAAGATGTGGTATATATATACAATGGAATACTATGCAGCCATCCAAAGAAATGAAATCTTGCCATTTGCGACGACGTGGATGGAACTAGAGAGTATCATGCTTAGTGAAATAAGTCAATCGGAGAAAGACAACTATCATGTGATCTCCCTGATATGAGGAAGTGGAGATGGCACGTGGGGGGTTGGGGGGGTAGAAGAATAAATGAAACAAGATGGGATCGGGAGGGAGACAAACCATAAGTGACTCTTAATCTCACGAAACAAACTGAGGGTTGCTGGGGAGGGAGAGGGGGGTGGGGTTATGGACACTGGGGAGGGTATGTGCTATGGTGAGTGCTGTGAAGTGTGTAAACCTGGCGATTCACAGACCTGTACCCCTGGGGATAAAAATACATTATATGTTTATAAAAAAACATAAATTAAAAAATAAAAATCTCTCTAATGAAGTTATCGGTCACAAGGGTGAAGGCACATTATCTGTACCTCTATAATTATTATAGTACCTAGTGCTAAATAAGTTTAATGAATTTAAGATTTGAGAGAGTGAGCACCCAAAGTGAGCCTGAGGAGGGGAATGGAGAGAATCCTCAAGCAGACTTCAAACTGAGCAGAGCCCAATCTGGAACTTGATCTCACAACCCTGAATCAGCCACCCAACCGACCCACCAAAGAGCCTAGTTTAATGAATTTAAAAGAACAGAAAACACATAGTAACTTAACTTAGTTAAGAATAGGATTTATGGGGGCGCCTGGGTGGCTCAGTGGGTTGAGCCGCTGCCTTCGGCTCAGGTCATGGTCTCGGGGTCCTGGGATCGAGTCCCGCATCGGGCTCTCTGCTCCGTAGGGAGCCTGCTTCCCCCTCTCTCTCTGCCTGCTGCTCTGCCTACTTGTGATCTCTCTCTCCCTGTGTCAAATAAATAAAATATTTTAAAAAAAATAGGATTTATGATATTCACCCTTACTTTAAAAAAAAAATGTGATAGCCCTCCAACAAGTAACATTTAAAGGATTGGCAATGCTTCTGAAGTCACTTACCTAAATTCTTCAAATGTACAGATTTTTGATAGGAAGACTGATTTGACAACCTTCCCACCCTAGATATTAAAACTCTCAGCAATGTGTTTGGGGATAAATTGAGTGTATTTGTGAAAGGATAAAATTTTGACTCTCTGTACACTAGGAAAGCTGCAAGGTCAGAACATTGTGATGACACTAATTTAGACTTACAGTACTGCTTCATTTCTGGCCATGCCTGAGGTAGTTTTAGAATTACTAATCAGGACAAGATTAACTACAAATTAAGCTTTAAAAGCCTGTTCAAAAATACCAACTACCACCACCAAGTTTTATCGCACAAAGCAACATATATACTGGCAAATGGACAAATAGACTATTTTAAAGGTCATACATACTTTTTTGCCTATAAGAAGAGCTGACAATTATCACTTACCTGACAGAAGTGGTACAAATCATATTGAAAATCACTTGTAGTCGTTAGTAATGCCAATTCAGGAATAAAAAGGTAAATGATCTAATGGAACATTGAAACTTCCTTAAAGACAAGTGTTTATTTTTGCTTAATCACATCTCAGGGTTACATGCATTTGAACACCTCAGTCCTATTTTCACATACTTTCTAAATATGATATAAAGTGTTCAAATTTTATCAAATATCAGCACTGTCGTGTAGTTACTAATCTTGCAATGCACTTATTTCGCAAGGACATTCAACTTTTCCTACTCAGTGATATTACTTACTGCCTACTCAGTGAAATTACTTACTGGCTTTGATGCATTTAATGAGAAAAATATTGCCATGAGAGCATTCTTCTAGTATTTCATGTAGTAAGTAAAAATCTTTCAAATGTTTGGTTATGCATAAATCCTTTCTATACCAGGTTCATTTGGAGAGTCCTAAAAGCCATTTACCTGATAACTTGTTGTATATGTAAGTGAACTCAGGAATCTCTAATTCAGCTAACATAGATTACTCCACGTATTTGAGCTATCAAATAGTGTATTTGAGCTATCAACAAACATGAGGCTTTTTACACCTTCAGCCGAGGAAGTACTGAAGTACATGGTGTAGATGTTTTTTTCACTTAGCATCTTACATACAAAATCCAAAGTCGTACTGAATTCAGGATAATACATGCATCAAAAAGTTGGTGTAATTAACAAAGTCAACAGCAGAGGTTAACACCAATAAACTGTATTTGAAAGATCCTTTCTTTAATAGCATCATAAGCATCCTAAATAAATATAATGAAAGACCCAAAGCTCGAAGATAAATGTGCCAATGGAGCCATAAGCATCCTAAATAAATATAATGAAAGACCCAAAGCTCGAAGATAAATGAGCCAATGGAGCCAAAGAGCTAGCTAATCTTCAAACATCCTAAGAGTTCATTTGACAGGACCAGTCTTCCCTTGGGTCTGGTGACAACCCAAGTTCTCTTGGCAGGA